TCTGCTCTTATAGGTAACACTCGGGATTTGGGCGAAGTTATTATTTTGATAGGATAGTTTATGTATACTATCTTATGACTTTATGTATTGATGATAACATGATGATATGTACATTTTGTGAACACATTCGCTGTGCTATGAATATTCATATATTTATATGATGATTTGTGATATGAATCGGTATATCCGACTTTTGATTTTGTGATGTGCATTATAATTCAAAGTGATGAAAAACACGAATATGTGATACCTCAATTTATGTTTGGATGAAATTTTGAAACTCTGATTTTATTATTAATTACGAGGGGTAGAATTGGGGTGTTACAGTCACCACCATCCAAGGCGACCTAGCAGCCTCTCGAAGATGCTTCAACGCGACGACCAAGGGAAGGTGTTAGCACCATTTCCATCTGTAGTTTTCTACGGGCTCTTAGATGCTTAACTCATTTTTGAAATACCTTGTGCTTTGTATTTTTGAAAAGTATTTGAAAATGCCTTAGTGCGGCGATTCGCTTTATGATAACTCTTGTATCAGTCCCCAAGAGTGTTGACAAAGCGAATGTTTTTGAAAGTGTTTTTGAAATGTGTAAGTGTAAAATTTTTGTTTTATTTGAGCAAGCATCTAACAACTATCCACTTATACTCTAAAGTTTGTTCTTTTCCTCCTATCCTTTAGACAGCGTTATCCTACTATTAGTGAGTAGGTAGCCCTATCGTTGCATGTTTGAGGGACAATCGAAGGGACGTTTTATAGTCACAAAGGCAACTGGGTAAGAAGATTTAGTAACTACCCTAGGTTTCTAAGATCATATTTTTACCGAGGCAACGTCGAGAGGGTCATCGAGGGACTTATGATCTTTTTGAACCAGAGGGTAACCACTAAAACCTCTCACGTTTCGAGAGTTATGACTATTTTCCGAAGGCAACCGAAGTGGGGTACCCTAAAGGTGTATATGTGCAATGTGTGTTATATTCAGTTATTTTTGTCTTTTTTTGTTACGTTTGCTAGCGTTTTGATTTTAATCTTTGTCATACAATCATATTAGTCATACATCTAGCAGTTAATGTGAAAGCAATAAAAAATATGGGAATTATAAATCCCACGCTATTACAATACTTTTGGGGATGAGGAATTTACATGTCCAAAAATGGGGAAAAATAAAGAAAGCGATAAAGTCGTAGTTAATTATCTATTACATTCCATCAGCAGATACAAAAATATGAAAAAATAAAAATAAAAAGGAAATATTAAACGCGTGCGAATTTAAAATAATGTCTAAGCCCTAAAAAAGGTTTCTAAATGAAAGAAATTTCTTTTTGGTTGTTTTTTATTAAGAAAAATAATTAAACTAAATCTAAATTTAATTAAGAAAATAAATATTAAATGAAATTAAACCTAAATCTAATATTTTTGTATTTTTGTTAAGAAAATATTTGAATCATAAGAACCTAGTTCTGATTATTTTTAAATTATAGAATAATGTCAAAATAACTAAATTAATTAATTTACAAAATTAAAATTAATTAGAAAATCCTATGTTTAATATTTCTTTATGGTTTTTTTTGTTGATTTTATGATTATAATTAAAAATATTAAAAAAGGAATAAACAAAAAAAACAAAAAAAAAACAGCATGTTGGGCCTGATGTTATAAGCAACTGGGGGTGCGCTTGGGATTTTTGTTAGGCCCAAAAGTCTGAGTTCAACGTCCCAAAAATAATCCAGTGGGCACCACCCTTGGAGCTGCAGGGTGAAAATGCGCCCTAGGATGGCCAAATCTCTTTGCCTCAATATCTAATGGTCCAAACATGAAAGTATATGGTGAGCGTTTAGGGGTGCAACGTACTGAATCCTGCAAGGAAGTGTTAGAAAAAATCAAAATGTTGGACCTGGGACTCGAACCCAGGTCCTTTCCCTTTGCACGCATACGCCTTTCCATCTGAGCTGCTTTACAATTCGTGTATCATAACCAACACATAATATTATATACAAAACCAAGTCAGATATATTAAAAAAATAAAAACGTGTGCGCTGGCTTCAATGGACCAATGAGAGTGTGACATCCAAGCTGCCAGAGTCAGCGACCGAAGTCAAACCTCCGATCACCTTCTCCGGCTAATCCAAAGCTTATTTCTGAAAATTACACAGTTTAAAGCAAAACCAAAAGTCTTATCCTACATAAAATCACGTCCTCATTTTGAATTTGGCCTTAGATTTGCCTAAAAGTGATTGTATTGCCCAGATCGAAGCTTAACAACTTCAAGACCCTATCAATGGAAAGTTGGCTTTTAAGCCTCAAAGCATCCATGCTTTACATCAAACATGTCCTATGGATCATCCTGAGCATGAAGCAAATATCAAAAGGCATTAATATATCACAAAACTAGAGATACGAATTTGAAAATTTTACCAAAATGAGTGGTTTCGGTTTGGCACTTCCGGGCGTGTTATAGCTTGAATGAGGAGTGGTATGTGCTCCTGGGAGTCCTGGGATGTTGATGGAGTGCTTGGAATAGACTGAGTATAGCTGGAATTGGCTGTTTGAATTTCACAACTTTGTTGGATTTTTGGCAATTTTTCGTGGCTCTCTAGGCAATGTGTATGTATGAGTTTGGCTTACAGAGAGATAGTATATAGAGAGGAGAGGGAGGGGACAAGGTTAGAAGGAAAGAAATCAAAGCATAAACATGTTGTTTAAAGCCATGATCACAATTTGAAAAATTACCAAAACTTGAGATTTCATGCCATTTTCATATTTGGATTAACCTAGGCATCTTTGCATGAATTTGTGGGCTTCTAGGCAAGACAAATCATCAGCCCAAATGCCAAAGCCCATCTCTATACATTTTTGTGTAATTTATTTTATATTTATTTGAAATAAATTAAAATAAATATGAACAAAATAGATAAAAATGGAAAGACAATGTAAAAATAAGATTAGAGGTCCCTTACAAGGTTAGGAAGACCTTTGAAGTCCAATAAGTTAGGCCATTGACCTAAAAGTTCAATTTTGTCTGATGCACAATTCTTGAAATTTCCAAACTTTTCCCAACTTGGGTAAGCTATAACTTGCTTAATTTTTATCTAATGATGATGATCTTGGACTTTTTGGAAAGCCCAAGATGTTTACTTCAATCCCTTTTTTTATAAAATTTTCATTTGAAGACTTTATCTTGATGTAAATGGTCTTGACAAAAAGTGCCTTTAGTTGACTTTCTGAAAATGACCTATAATGTATGAGCTTGTATCTTTCAAATGGTGCACCTATTGAACTTGAGGACAAAATAAAAGTTGTAGGGAATGAGATTATATTAAAAATGAGCTTTAGTTAGGGAAAAATGGATGAAGTATGTGAAAGTTATGCCTGGTCAAAGTCCAGTTGACTTTTCTTATAGAAACCCTAATTTAGCAATTTTTTACTTTTGATGGATTAGGAGCATTTCTTGAGGAATCATGATCAATCCTTGATAAAATTATGGATATCACTTCAAAATGTTAATGTTGACCAAAAATCTTGAAGTTTGATTGTATATAGGCCACAATTGACTTTTGACCTAGTACAGTTGATTTTCCAACACTTGAGCAATTGACTGAGCAAACTTGTAGTGTAAGGCATGAAATTTATCATGGATAATCTTGAAGGCATATTAGGGTCATGAAAAACATTTGAGACCTTTGGGGCTCACATATCTTGATAAAAAGTGAAACCCTAATTGGAGGTTCAATGCTTAAGAGGAGAATTTGTATGGTCAATTCTTGGTCAACCTTGAGCAATTGAGGACCTCTAGGAGCATGTCTTGATAAAAGTGGAAGGGAAAATTTTGGGGTACAACAAAAGGGATCTTTAGTAGCCTGTAACACTTGGACTTTTGCGGTTATTGAAATGAATGTGGGTACCTGCAAGATAATCTGATGCCAGAGTGTGGTTTAGATCAAAGTACAAATATGAAAAAGTGAGTAGAACAGTGCACCTAACCCTTTAGCGAAAGATGGTACTTATAGCTTCTAGCGCTGGATCAAGATCCCCATTTTGGGATGGATGCCCAGGCCCAAAATGGAGACTGCTAGGATTCTACGTGGGTATAGGAGACCAGTTCATGGTCTATATCTTGGTTCAACTGCTCTGTGATTCTCGGAGGGGAAGACCCGTTCTTTTCGTGACCAGGATGACTTAGTGATATTCGGAGGAGCGTTGGCTACACCCCTTCGTCGGGCACATGGGGGAGACGTCCCCGACGAACTTGTGGAAGAGGAGGTCTTCGACGGGCACGCGTAAGGGACGTTCACGAAATGCATGTGTTGAGGAGTAGGTCCTCGACGGACACGCGTAAGGGATATCCACGAAGTGCATGTGTTGAGGAGGAGGTCCTTGACGGGCACGTGTGAGAGACATTCCCCAACGGTCACAATAATGTGGACCACAATAATAGGCCTTCCTCGTAGCAGAGTTGGGTTGGACCTTGCCCGACGATAAATCAAGTGCAGACCCAATCCAAAACATGTTCAAAATCAATATCAAAGTTAATACATTTGTAATACTATAGATTGATCGTAAAAGATGAATTTTTATTGGAATCTTATCAACAACTTGTGGTGTAATAAATCACTCATAAAAATTATTTACACTTTTTCAAATTGAAAATATTAATTTTGATGTTACATATATATATATGAAAATTCATTATTACTATTTAAAAATATTATTTTTTAATTTATTTTATTTATCATTATTTAATATTTATTATATAATATTTAAAAATATAAAAATAATTTCAACCCATGCATCACTTACAATCTAGTTTATTTTAAATCTAATGTAACAAAAACATCAATTTGAAGTGTTTATGTTCTTTAGAGATAGGTTTACATGTACATACTACATACTACAAATATCACTTTTTTTCTTCTTGTTTTGCAATATTAAAGTTTAAGTGAGTAAGATAGGAGAATTCATCAATATTTGAGTAGGCCTCAAGTTACAAAATTCTAACATACATATATTATTTTTCATTCTTTATAGTGTTATTAAACTTTTCACCTAGCTTTAACCATTCATCTCTTATATTTGCTTGAGATTTCTTAGCCAATTCATGCTCATCTCTCAAACAATGCACTTGTTCCTTTAATTCATCTCTTTGAACTTTTAGAATCTTTGCTTTCTCAAAGATTTCTCTCTTGGTATGAGCAACCATGTTCTTGGCTTCTTGTGAAGCAGTTATATTAGCTCTAACACCATTTATTAGTTCTTCTAGCTCTTTCTTCCTTTCCTCCAAATATTCCAACTCATTGAACAACTCATTTTCCAAACACTTAACTTCTCTAAAAAGGCTTTTGTTAGCTTCAAGACCCTCTTCTAATTCATCCCTTTTTAACAATTTTGCTTTTGTAGACTCTATTTTCTTGCTTTCATTTGTGTAATCATAACTCCAACAAGTGAACTGTCTTGAAACTTCTATGACTAATGATCTTATTTCAACAGATATTCTTTCTTCTGTAGGTAAATTTGTGAGGTAATCTAAGGTGGATTTCATGGTGTTGTACTCATTAGGCCTTAAAAGAACTGAAAAATCTTTGGTGAGATAATCATGAAGTGTCTTCAAAACTTTCTTGGTTTCTTCACTTGGCTTTGTTCTGTTGGATGATTCACAAACCACTTTGTTATCACTATTCTCTGCATCAAGAATAGCATAAAATGCTTCCATGTCTTCATCATCTTTTGCTTCATGATCTGAATCTAAATCAACATCAGGATCTTTAAATATGATATCTTCCATGTTAGCTTCTTGTCTACATATATGTACTCCACACCAGCTTATATTCACATTTGGTGATTCATTTATTTTCACACAAGAAATCTCAATCTGATTCCAATCCTCAACAAGATACGACTCAAGATCGTGAAACTCGAATGATGGATGAGTCCTCAAATCAAACAGCCATACATGATCAGTCACCATTTCTGAAAAACTTCTTGGTATTTCCAATTCATAAACTTCTTCACCATTTATATAAAATCGGATTTCGCAACTGAAACTCTTCTTCATTTCACTCTCTATTGCAAGAGCAAAACATAAAATGATTGGTGGAAACTTTTCATGCACCAAAAAGGTCATATATTCTCCTTCGCGGATGTGATCAAACCATTCTGGAATTCTTGCTCCCGGAACCATAATTTGTAACTCACATGCCTCGAAAGTTTCCTGTTATAAATTATTGACAAGTTCATGGACCCGGTTACAAGTTTTTCAGTTCGGTGGCACAAACAAAGTTTAAGAATGAGACAAACCTGACTTAGTAACAAGTTTGATGACTCTGCAGTCAATGATTTGCAGTTTCTTGCATTAATATATCGCGAATTGGGAGGAATGCATGGAATTTCTCGGAGTTCTTTGCAGTCGTCTAAGTGAAGCATTTGCAACGAATCATATTCTTGTATGCATCTTGGAAGAGTAAGAAAATTATTTCCCGAAAGGACTAATGATGACAAATTTGGGAAACATTTGAAAACTATGGGAAGATCTTCATCGATAAGACCACAGTTTTCTAGATTCAATGATTGAACATTACCAAATGTAAGAGTAGATTTTCCTAATTCTCTCAATTTCGTCAAGAAGCTTCTCAATTGCGGACAACCTTCGATATCAAGGTTTCTAAGATTCTGCAACATATCAATGTTTTCAGGAAGTTCCTTGAGACGCAAGCAAGAGGTCATGCTTAATTCTTCAAGAGCAACAAGGTTTCCAATGGAAGGAGGCAATTCTTCAATACCAGTTCCTTCAATTGAAATAGATATGAGATTTTCCATTTTCGCCAAAATTGTTGGAAAAGTTTGAAGACTTGAGCACCAATTAAGAATTAGAGTTTTCAATGATGTCAATTTGATAGCTTGTGGAAAATCTTTAAGTTTTGTGCATCCATAAGCCCTTAACTCGGTAAGGTTCTCAAGAAATCCAAGAGAGTCATCAATTTTTTCTAGATTTGTACAATAGTCAAGATTTAGTTCCGTTAAATTTGGTACACTTGAAACGTCTGGTAGCTTCGTTAAGAATTCACAGTGACTCAAATCCATAGAAGTCAATGAATCGAAATGCTGCAAATCAGAAAACATAGATTAAGATAACTAAATTATTAGAATTTGCGTCGTGCATCAAATGATAACATGAAACCTTACCTTGAATGGTTCTTGCAATGTAAAGCGACTGCGCGACAAGTTGAGTGCAACAAGTTTCTTTGGCTGAAAAGTCGGTGGCAAAGACGATGAAGGATATTCCATCCAATCAAGCATCCTTAAATTGTTTGGAAGATGTTGAGGGCTTCCATAAAACTGTCCATTTCTAACTATAAGAATTTTGAGGTTTTTCATCTTTTTGAAGGAATCATCTTTCAAATGTACCATATATTGATCAGGGAGATCTACCATCATGCCTTGAATTCTGTAAGTCCCCTTTTAAACAAAAGAAAACATGAAAAGTCATAATTTGATGCAAACATTTATAAGATAAGTAGAATTGGATTAACATAGACATGATGGCGCTTACCGAACTTTCGGTTAGTACTTCAATAACATCCTCATGATTCCATAACCTACTCCGTTTTCCAGGCTCTAACGGCGAAACTTCTCTAACTACTTCCCTGCCCATGTCTTGAATCAAATCATGCATTCTCAATCGGTTATATTCATCAATACTTACAAGAGATCTATCAGTAAGTACACTGATACCAAATTTTGGGAAGAAACCACAAGCTTGAAGTGTTTTTTCGACATATTCAACAGTCTCACCCTTGAAGAAACAAGCTATATCCAAGAAAATCTCCTTTTCATTCTCTTCTAAGTTATCAAAAGTTACTCTAAGTACATTTTGAACTTCTTTATTAGGAATCTTTTCATATTTAGCCAATGCAGATTTCCATTCCTCAACTGTTTTACCAAACAAATTAGATCCCATTACTTTCAAAGCCAATGGAAGTCCTTCAGCATAAAGCACAACATTGTTGGAAATCTCCATATACTCCTTATCACTTGCTTTTCTTTTGAATGCATTCCATGTAAAGAGTTCAAAAGCTTCTTCATGATTCAATTTCTTCACTTCATATGTTTTATCAACTAGATGAGAAGCTAACAACTGTTTATCTCTTGTTGTTATGATTATTACACTTCCGAAACCGAACCAATCGCGGCCTCCTGCTAATGCTTGAAGCTGTTCCAATTTGTCAACATCATCCAGAATCAAAAGTACTTTTTTGCAACATAATCTCTTCTTTATAATTGGAATTCCTTTATAAACATTTCCTAGCTTAATGTTCTTTTCACCAACTGTTTCATACAGAAGTGTTTCTTGAAGTTGAACTAGGCCTTGTCTTTGAGTTGAGCTTTCTCTTATATCAGTAAGGAAACTTGTCACTTCAAATTCATTCGCAATTGAGTTGTATAATGCTCTTGCAATTGTTGTTTTTCCTATGCCTCCATGTCCATGAATTCCAAAGAAACAAACTTCTTCAACAGGCTTTTCAAATTGCAAAAGTGATTTTACTTCGGATATGCGAGTTTCTAGTCCAACCGGATGCTCAGAAATATGCAAAAGAGTGTTATTTAATTTGCTACAAACCTCATCAATGATCCTTAGGATAAGCTCATATTCATACCTACCAAGTTAAAAATTCAAACACAATTACTATCACCATTTTAAAAAAGATCCACCTCAAAAATTCAGGCCGCGACATCAAGGTTTTTGATGTCTGCACAAAATGATCTATGATTGTGTTCGCCTTGCAGTCGCGTAAAGGCTTTCACGATTTTGGTCAGTATATGTGTTACAATGCTGAACAAAAAAGAAGAATATATATGTTTATACATACCCCTGGCCATTTTTTAAGCTCCAACCCGATAAATTGGCTGCATCAAACAATGCTTTTTTCCACTTGTTCAACCTTTGAACATCACCCTTGAATGAGACTTCATGTTTAGCCATTGCAACTCCAAAGCTTCCTCTTTGATGCCTAATCCAAGAAGGGTCAACATAGTAGAAAACTGGAAAAACCAATTGTCCCTTTGTTTTCCAACACTCAAGAATCATGGCAAGCTCATCAAGACACCAAGTTGAGGAAGCATAGTTTTCAGAAAACACAATGATTGAAATCCTAGATTCTTCAATGGCTGTAATAAGAGATGGAGATATTTGTTCTCCTCTTCTAAGCTTCTCATCATCAATGAAAACATTGATACCCTTTTGGTGTAAGCCATGATAGAGAGAGCCTGTGAAACTTGTCCTTGTATCTTCACCTCTAAAACTGAGGAACACATCATAATTCCATCCATGTATCACCATGGTTATCACTACAAATATCAAACACAAAAGAAATTTTAGGCAGAGTCGCGGACTAGGTCGCAGATTGTTAATACCATTTTCATAAATGAAAACAAATATTTGACTTTGAGATGCTAACAAATGTTTCTCTTTCTTTTGAGATTTAACAACGAATTAATAATACTATGAGACATACTCAACTTACTATGAATACACTTATTGATTAGATATAACCAAAGTGTCCAAAAAGACAAGCAAGTTGGTTATGATTCTTATGAATGAATAAAGTTAAACATGTGCTATGCATCATGCATGATACCATCATACCACATGCATAGGTTCCTTTTTCTTTTGACTTATTGTGACACATATATTCTGAGGGTAGCTTCCAAATCAACCAATAAATAAATTGTGGGTCCACTCATTGAACCCAACTTGTTCCTTTATTAATATTTGTGGCTTAAATGGGAGATTGGTGAAGATATCTTACATATAGACCAAAAACAATTAATTTTAATGAATTAATATTATTCACCCAACAATAACAATTAATCTCTAGATCTATACTATAATGGACGGAAATATATATATATATATATATATATATATATATATATATATATATATATATATATATATATATATATATATATATATATATATATATATATATATATATATATATATATATATATATATATATATATATATATATATATATATATATATATATATATATATATATATATATATATATATATATATATATATATATATATATATATATATATATATATATATATATATATATATATATTAGGAGATGTTTTGTAAGGATGAAAATAGACTGAATCGAGTTAGATTTTATTAAATTTGAGTCTATTTTATTAAAAGTTTTAAAGTTTAAATCTAATTTGTAATTTATTATAGATTTATTTTTAAGTTTAAGTTTGGTCTTTTCGAATGTCTATTTAATCTATTGGTTTACATAAAAATTTATTTTATTTAAATATTTGTGAATAAAAAATTTAACTAATATCTAAAAAGACTAACAAATTAAAAGATCAACAAAATTAAATAATTATTTTATTGATTTATTCAAATTTACTTCTTAAAATAAATTATGTGATACGATTTGTGTGAAAGAACTTATGAAAATAACTAGAACTTATAAAAACAACTTATAACATTATTAATAAGATTTTTCAACTTATTTTTCACAGATTTTTCAATATAATTAAACTTTACTTTTATATTATTCAAAATATAAATAAAATATAATAATAATAACATTAAAGGTATTCATATTTATTAAAATAATTTTCCCTTTTTACTTTTGTTAAATTAAAAATCAAATAAAAATCCCAAAAAAACATTAGGTTAGTATTTTTTTAATTAAGTTAATTTAATTAAATTAATTAAATAATTATTTTAACCTTTTCTTTAAATTAAAATTAAGTAGACTTATGCTTTGCTTTCTTTTATAAATAAAAACAAACAAAAAGATTTCCTTTTCCTTACGATTTTTAGACGTTCTTTATTCAACTTGCACACATTTATTTATTTTCACACTTTTCATATTATTGTATCTGCTCACAGTCTGTAATAGCTTAATTTAGGATCTTTCCTTATTGTTGTTTTCCCCAAGTTTTGGACATGTAAATATCCTCCTCCCTGAAGCTTTGTAATGGTGTAGGATTTATATTCCCGCATTTTATTTCCTGTATATATTAACTGCTAGATGTATGACTAATAGGATTGTATGACAAAAATTAAAATCAAAACGCTAGCAAACCTAACAAAAAAGACAAAAATAACTGAATACAACACACTTGCACATATACACCTCTAGGGTACTCCTACTTTGGTTGCCTTCGAAAAACAAAACAGTCATATCCCTCGGAAATAGGGACGCTTTAGCAAAGACCCTTAAGTCAAAAAGATCATAGTCCATCGATGACCCTACAGTGTTGCCTTTCGGTAAATGATCTAGTCCCTTAAATAAAATTGCTAAAGCGTCTCTACACGTTGCCTTTATGACTGTACGATGACCCACGAACGTCCCTCATACATCCAACGATAGGGCTACTTACTCACTAATAGTAGGATAACATTGTCTAAAGGATAGGAGGAAAAGAACAAACCTTTTGAGTATAAGTAGATAGTTCTTAGATGCTTGCTCAAAACAAATTTTCACACTTACACGAAAACATTTCAAAACACTTTCAAAAATGCTTTATAAACACTCTTGAGGACTGATACAAGAGTTATCATAAAGCGAATCGCCGCACTAAGGCATTTCACAATACTTTTCAAAAACACACAAAAGCATAAGGTATTTTTCAAAAATGAACTAAGTATCTAAGAGCCCGTAGAAAACTACGGATGGAAAGGGTGCTAACACCTTCCCTTTCCATAATCTACCCCCCTTACTCAGAAATAATCTCGAAAGGTCTTTTTCTGTTCTTTTCACCCTTTCCTAAGTTGGATAAAAGAAAAATTGGTGGCAACTCTTGCTTACCACAACATTTGCAAACACAAACGCAAAACCAGTATAAATAGTCGGTTCTGCCACCGTATCACAGAACTGATGAATCTGCTGGGGAATTAAAATAAAGTGGGGTTACCTTAGAATTAGTTCTTTTTAAAATTTCTTTCCTTGTATGCTTTGTTTGCTTTATCTTTGAGGGTTTTGCTTGAGTTTACTTTTAAAGATCCTACACCCGGATCTGGGGCACCTTTTAAGTAAGTAGCAATAGATTATGGGGACTGTGCGGGATATATCGACATAGCTGAAGTGATAACTACATTGATGTGACACATTTATTGGTATCGGTAGCCCTTGAGTAGTCAAGGAGAATACGGGGCCGCTGTGTGGTGTCACGAAGCATCAACTGACCTTAGAACCTTTAATTGAATCAACTTGGCCATTAGGAAGTAGTGAGATAGTCGGCTTTGGTGCAGTCCGAAGTTGGTCGATACTCGATACTATACTCATTGAGATCTGACTTCCGGGATATTTCGGTCGCTAATAAAGAGGCTTGCGCTGAAACAATGCTCGGTGAAGAAAGATCAGTGATATTGAGATTCCTTAAAACCTGGTTACTATTAATAGGACAGGTTGAACCAACTAAACTTCAAGAGGGTACTTACCTATAAACCCCATGCAAGTCTGAACTTAAGGATGCTTGTGTGACTTGTTTGCCTTCATTATCTAACAACTTGAACTCATTTCAGGGCTTTTGTTTGTATTCCTTGCAGGACCTTTTTTGTATACATTATCCAATAAACTGGTTTTCTTGCAAGACATACTTGTCTTCACCACCATGCATTTCTGCTTGATGCATAGCATACACATCATAGCATCATACCATAGCCTTTCCTTAACCATTTCAAGGATCTCAAGGGCCTGTGGTGCAGGTTATGATGAACCAAACGTCTAGCAAGGGGCAAGGGGATTTATTTTCCTCTAGCTAACACCGTCAAAAGATCAAAACACAACAACTTGAGTCAGGGGCTATGACTCACTTGATATGGTGAGCTTGATTCTCGTAGAAGGACATTCAACGATACGAAGTTCTTCAATCAAAGCTGCAGTAAACTCCTAACATCTTATTGTGTTTACCCCGCGAGATCCTTGAAAACATCGCATAGGCATATCATACATGTCATTGTATAGAAGGTATTTCAAGACAAGTTTCTTATCTTTTCGCTGTTTATTTCAGCAAAAGAAATGGCTCTTGAACAGACAGTAAAAGACCTTCAAGCCCAAAAAGCTCAGTTCTAACAAATGTTCATGGCTCTGGCTAAGGGGCACGAAGAACTGAAAACTCTCGTCATCAAAGAGAAGAAGAAGAAGGCAAAGAAACCAGCTGGTGTTTTGAATTTGGGAAGAAGACTTAGAGGACCAACCAAGAGAGCTCTAGATATCTCAACTCCATCAAATGAGGGGGATAATCATGAAGATGATAACAACCCGGGGACTGGTGAAGATGAAGCTGATTACTCTGAAGAATAATATCCTTCTGCTGATGATAAATATAAACAGTTGGAGGATCGCCTAAATGCTATGGAGATTCAGCAGATACTTGGCTTGGACTTTGAAGAGTTAGGGGTGGTTTCTGGAGTGGTCATCCCACCAAAGTTTAAAGTCCATACATTTTCTAAATATGACGGGGTCTCTTGTCCTAAACTTCACTTGAGATCATATGTCAGAAAGATTCAACCTCACATTACTGATTGGAAGCTATGGGTCCATTTCTTCTAAGAAAGTTTGGCTGGCACTCAATTGGAGTGGTTCTATCAGTTAGAAGGAACCGACATCCATACCTGGAAGGATTTGGATGATGCTTTCTATAAGCAGTATCAATACAATGCTGACATGGAACTAACTCGAGTGCAATTGCAGAATATGTCCATGGGCTCAAGAGAAGGGTTCAAGGAATATGCACAGAAATGGAGAGATTTAACTGGCAGGGTGCAACCTCCTTTGACTGATCGGGAAATGGTAAACATGTTCATGGGCACTTTGGCAGGCCCATTCTTCAATTTACTGATTGGGAGTTCTTCATCCGGTTTTACAGAGATGGTTCTGACTGGGGAGAGGATCGAAAGTAGTATCAAGAGTGGGAAAATTTTGATGGCCGCATCTTCTAATGCTGAGAAGAGGCCATTTGGGGGTAAAAAAGAAACTAATGTTATCTATGGTCAATAGGGCCATAATAAAAAGGACCACCATCAATCTGTGGGAGCGGTGCTAATCTCTAATCCTACACCTGTTCAACAATGACAGAGCAATAGGCGTAGGGTAAAATACCAAGAAAGGCAATACGCTAAGATTAATATGCCATTGTCTCAAGCGTTACAACATTTGTTGAAAGCGAAGCTGATTTCACTAAGGGATCCTCCTCAAAACCCCGATACCTCCTCTCCTAAGTACAATCCAAATGTAAGATGTGCCTACCATTCTGATAGTCCTGGACACGACAGCGACAAATGTTGGACTTTGAAGAACAAGATTCAAGATTTGATCGACAACAAGGAGATCGAATTTGACCCGCCTAAGGCTCCCAATGTGATCACTGCTCCCATGCCAAATCATGGCCAAAATTGAGAGCGTTTATTTCATTTCAAATTGTCAGCTGTAACTTCTTTGTTTACTTAAAACATTTGTATTTATATCAGACTTTGGTTATTCATATTAATGCATTGCATATATTTGTCTTGAATGATTTCATTCGTATTCATTATATTCAAACTGTGTTTTTCACTTCCTTTTTGTAATATTCAACTCTCGATTAAAAGCTCTAAGCCTTTAGAGGAAGGATAACGAAAAT